GATGCTCAGTGTTTAGTGTGGGATGCTCAGTGTTTTAGTGTGGGATGCTCAGTATTTTAGTGTGTGATGCTCAGGGTTTAGTGTGGGATGCTCAGTATTTTAGTGTGGGATGCTCAGTATTTTAGTGTGGGATGCTCAGTAGTTTAGTGTGGGATGCTCAGTGTTTAGTGTGGGATGCTCAGTGTTTAGTGTGGGATGCTCAGTGTTTAGTGTGTGATGCTCAGGGGTTTAGTGTGGGATGCTCAGGGGTTTGTGTGTGATGGCCAGGTTTTCCTCAGCAAGTGTATGATGCCTAGTGTTTTAAAATATGATCTGATGTTAAAAGTCATGTAGTGTATTCCAGCCTTTAGTTATCTAATTATTTTAGTTTAAAATGTAATGTAAAACGTAATAATAATAATAATAATTGGATCTGAAAATGAAGACTGATTAACCTTTGGCAAACTGGTAATCGCTGAGACTAGTTTTTAGGACAGTCTTAACAGAGAGGCTGAGTTTATGCAATAAAAAATATCTATCTTTCTTTTTGTTTTTAAGTAGTTTTACTAACGGTTTAGTTTTGTAACATTATAAAACCCAGTGTTGGCAGTCAGGGACTGAAGGGGTTAAGTGTTTGGGTGGGATGTACTGGGGGAGGGGCGTGAGAGAGAGAGAGGCTGCTGCTACAGGAAGAGCTCCGCGCTGATTTCCTCATGTTCTCTCCAGGAGTCGCAGTCGTCTGACGCGCCGGACGGAAACACAGCGTCACAGACGGAGGACGGATCTCGAGGGGATGCCGGGGACTCGGCTCCTCCAAGCGCCTCCACTGTGCCCCCTGCTGATGGCTTCCTCAGGCGCCTGGGCAGCCTGTTTCATTTCAGCCGGGCAGAACCGGCCGGAGCCCAGCGAGAGAGACTGAGCGACGCGGACAGCAGCAGTCTGACTACAGGACAGAGAGACACGCAAACAAGCGCAGAGACACTGGAGAGCAGAGGAGGGGCGGAACCACGTGATCCAGCGCTGGAGCCATCCGTGTGTCATTCAGAGCTCACACACACACCGTAAGTTACATCAGCGTCAGAGAGAGAGAGAGTGAGTGTGTGTGTGTGTGTGTGTGTGTGTATGAGTGTGTATGAGTGTGTGTGTGTATGAGTGTGTGTGTGTATGAGAGTGTGTATGAGAGTGTGTATGAGAGTGTGTGTGTGTGTGTGTGTGTGTATGAGAGTGTGTGTATGAGAGTGTGTGTGTTAGTGTGTGTGTGTTAGTGTGTGTGTGTGTGTATGAGAGTGAGTGTGTGTGTGTATGAGAGTGAGTGTGTGTGTGTATGAGAGTGAGTGTGTGTGTGTATGAGAGTGAGTGTGTGTGTGTATGAGAGTGAGTGTGTGTGTGTATGAGAGTGAGTGTGTGTGTGTATGAGAGTGAGTGTGTGTGTGTATGAGAGTGAGTGTGTGTGTGTATGAGAGTGAGTGTGTGTGTGTATGAGAGTGAGTGTGTGTGTGTATGAGAGTGAGTGTGTGTGTGTATGAGAGTGAGTGTGTGTGTGTATGAGAGTGAGTGTGTGTGTGTATGAGAGTGAGTGTGTGTGTGTATGAGAGTGAGTGTGTGTGTGTATGAGAGTGAGTGTGTGTGTGTATGAGAGTGAGTGTGTGTGTGTATGAGAGTGAGTGTGTGTGTGTATGAGAGTGAGTGTGTGTGTGTATGAGAGTGAGTGTGTGTGTGTATGAGAGTGAGTGTGTGTGTGTATGAGAGTGAGTGTGTGTGTGTATGAGAGTGAGTGTGTGTGTGTATGAGAGTGAGTGTGTGTGTGTATGAGAGTGAGTGTGTGTGTGTATGAGAGTGAGTGTGTGTGTGTATGAGAGTGAGTGTGTGTGTGTATGAGAGTGAGTGTGTGTGTGTATGAGAGTGAGTGTGTGTGTGTATGAGAGTGAGTGTGTGTGTGTATGAGAGTGAGTGTGTGTGTGTATGAGAGTGAGTGTGTGTGTGTATGAGAGTGAGTGTGTGTGTGTATGAGAGTGAGTGTGTGTGTGTATGAGAGTGAGTGTGTGTGTGTATGAGAGTGAGTGTGTGTGTGTATGAGAGTGAGTGTGTGTGTGTATGAGAGTGAGTGTGTGTGTGTATGAGAGTGAGTGTGTGTGTGTATGAGAGTGAGTGTGTGTGTGTATGAGAGTGAGTGTGTGTGTGTATGAGAGTGAGTGTGTGTGTGTATGAGAGTGAGTGTGTGTGTGTATGAGAGTGAGTGTGTGTGTGTGTGTATGAGAGTGTTAGTGTGTGTCTATGAGAGTGTGTGTGTGTGTGTGTGTGTGCATGAGTGTTAGTGTGTGTATGAGAGTGAGTGATTGAGTGTGTGTGTGTGTGTGTATGAGAGTGAGTGTGTGTGTGTTTGTATGTGAGTGAAGTGTGTGTGAGTGTGTGTGTGTGTATGAGAGTGTGTGTGTGTATGAGAGTGTGTGTGTTAGTGTGTGTGTGTATGAGAATGTGTGTGTGTTAGTGTGTGTGTGTATGAGAATGTGTGTGTTAGTGTGTGTGTGTATGAGAGTGTTAGTGTGTGTGTGTATGAGAGTGTGTGTGTGTGTGTGTTAGTGTGTGTGTGTGTGTGTGTGTATGAGAGTGAGTGAGTGTGTGTGTGTGTGTGTATGAGAGTGAGTGAGAGTGTGTGTGTTTGTATGAGAGTAAGTGATTGTGTGTGTATGTGAGTGAGTGTGTGTGTGTGTGTTAATGTGTGTGTATGAGAGTGAGTGAGTGTGTGTGTGTTTGTGTGTGAGAGAGTGAGTGTGTGTGTGTGTGTGTGTGTGTGTGTGTGTGTGTGTGTGTGTGTGTGTGTGTGTGTGTGTGTGTGTGTGTGAGTGAGTGAGTGAGTGTGTGTGTGAGTGAGAGAGAGTGTCATGAGGACACACTGGTTTCTCTCATTCTTCACTTCATGTGACTGTGGGCCCCTGAGGCCTGGCGCCTGCTGATGATGTCATCAAACCAGCTGTGAACATCCAGAGTGCTGTTAGTGAGGATGACGTTCTTCATCATCATTTCTGCTGTGTGTCGCTGCAGCTCCTGTGTTTTACTCTATCTGTGATCACACACAGGAGCTGTTGATATGAGGCTGTTTCCAGATAAACCATCTGAACTCTGATGATTATGGGTCATATCTGCATTTTATTGAGCTGTAAACGGCTGCAGCCGGTTCTCTCAGTGTGTCACGCATTTCTTCTGTTCAGCAGTGTTTTTTCCTCATACGGCCGTTTTATACAGGATTGTGTGTGTGTGTTTATTTGGTTATACTTTAGGCATGTTTTGGATGTTTTCAATTAGAAAAACAATAAATAAACAGGTTATGTGCCTGTGTGTACATATGTACTGTATTAGTCTAATCGTTATGATTAAGTGCTTATAAAAGCAGTGGAAGTCTGTGAGATGACCTCGTCTGGTGAAGGTGTGTCAGGTGAAGAAAGCGTTGCTCGTGGGTTCTTCAGTTGTGAAGATGTGACACTGAATGATACACATACACACACACTTGGATGTGACACTGAATGAACAGACGGTGAAGCTGAGATGTTAGATGTCTTCTAACCCTTAATCTTGAAGTTCATTTAATTCCAGCAGATGAATGGCGAGAAAAGCAAAAGTCATTGTCATGATGTGGTAAAGCAGTATGTTTAACAGCGACAGATAAATAAGAGGAAAATGTCTCGTATGTCATGTATTTTAGAGAATTAGGAAAGTGTTCAGAGGATTTCTGTAATGAAATGGCTTAGTATTGAGTCATGGTGAGCAGAAGCTTTACAGTCCGGATCTGTTCAGACAAGCCTGACAGGCAGACAGACAGTTAATCAGCAGAAAGACAGCGCAGAGATCCGCAGGGCACCAAACAACACGAGAGCAGCAGAATACAGTCAGACGCCGCTCTCTGCTCGGACGGTTCAAACGAGCCCTTTAACTGCATCTGTGTTTCCCTGTCATCGTTCCATCAACATGTTAATCTGTGCAAACCTGTTTAAAGTTGAGATGTCCAGCTAGTTAGTGGTGTGTCAGTTTCATGCTCCGAGTGTAAGTCAGTCACTGGTGGTTCGATGTCCTGAAGAGTGAAACTGATGTTTTCAGAGCATTGATGTGTTCATTTGAGACATGTCAACTTCTGACTCAACCAATCGCATGAGTTTGGGGCGGGACTATCTGTCTGACTGACCAATGGCGCAGATGGGATTTTTTAACTGGGGGGGGGGGGGGGCCACTGTCAGTTCAGTCCAGAAAAATCACCAGCTCTGTCATAAACGATAGTATACGATCACTATGGTTACCGCTACAGGCTGATGCAGCTACCAGCTCCTCATAGGACCCCGGGGTCAGGAGTCGTAGCACATACATGCACAGAGAACGGAAACGTCGGTGGCAGCACCATCGTCATGTGTGTTTATTGACAACAGAACAGCGTGTAGTGAGAACGTGGGTACAAAGTAATGGTGACTGTTAGATTATTATTGTGTGTCAGCCTGCGTCTCCCCCGACCCGATCCTGAAGCAGTGGCGGCAATAATTAAAGGTACACTAAGCGATTTTTGCCAAACGATGTTGATATTTGAAAGCACCAAAACAAACACGCCCATACCCCAACAGGACCTCCCCAGAGCCGTTGAGAAACAGAGTTGTGACACTCCCATAGGCTTCCATAGAAACTGAGGAATGCGGAAGTAAAGCGTGTCATGGACATAGACTGTATAAAAACATGGACGTAGTATCCGTGACGTCACCCGTTGGTTTCTGAAGAGCGTTTTTGAAGCTCAAAGTGGGCGGAGCCGGCCGTCGCCATCTTGGCAGCGCATCACTCCCGGATAATCGAAAATGGGCAAGGAGGCGGGAGCAGGTTGCTGAAACCACGCCCACCTAGCTCGACGGC